AATCATAGTCAAGTATTCTTCTTTTATTCGACTGCGATTGGTTAATTTCTTACGGCTTACGACTTACTACTCTCATTGTAGATGAACCTTTATGCGTTATGCAGCGTTATGCAAAAGTCTGTGTCTCGGCCTATACTCTTCGTCGGTGGCTTTGCGGAACGCAGCCACTATGGCGAAATTAGCGCCAGTGCGCGTTCCAGTATTATATTTCAATGCCATCCATGTATTCTTAGGTCCATGGTTATACTGTGATTATACTATGGCGGCACTCTCTAATAGCGGCAAAAGTCTGTGTTCCCGGCTTAAAGAACTGTAGATATATTTTTTGCGCCCATCTACTTTAACCTATACAAGGTGTTGAACTTGAGAGCTTCAGCATTTAAAAAGAGGATAGTTTATACATATAAATAGCAATTTTCAAAGCGCGTTAAAATTTTAACAACCAAATATCTGCAATTTTGTCTCTAAGAATATTTTATGGAATCTATGATATTTTTAAAAGAGAAAAGGTATGTATTAAAACGTAATCAATAGACGGAGTAGGATATTTGATTTAACTTATACTAATTGGTACTAAATTATTTTATCAAGAATTGTTTATATATGTATATGTATAAACGATCAGAGATAATTAGTTGATTTTCTTTATAGTTGTAATTAACACAATTTATTTTATGTAAAATTCTTCAATAATTGTTCTCTTCCTTATTAGGTTATATTTCTTAAGGACAGTCCACTGATACAATATCTGTGGGAATATTGCATTTTTCAAAATTATAAAATTGTTTTTGAAAAGAAGTTTTCAAATTCAATTTGCAGAAATATCAAAAATGGAATACGATATATGTCGTCTGTGTGGCATTAAATCTGAGCATTTAGCGTATATCTTCGATGAATTAAATAATTTGGCGCAGATGATAAATGAGACTTTACGAATCAAGGTACGCAAATTAGTTAAATTACTGTAAATAAGTGTACACTACATCTCTTTTTGTTCTATCTACATCCAATTTTTTTTATAGGTCTCACAAGACGACGATTCCAAATATATATGCTTAGACTGTTATAACAAGGTTATCAGTTATTATGATTTTACTCAAAATGTATTGGCGCACTCGAAGGAAAGCGAGACTAAAATTATCTCTTTCTACGAAGTCGATAGAAAGGAGAAATTGGAAAGTGTGGTGATTTCGAAATTGCACAATGACATGATATATGCCTGTCCGAATTGCAATAAGGATTTAATGATCTTGATAAAGAGCAATTCTCAAGATGGAACATTTCAAATTTCATTGATTGTTGTGGATCAAATGGAGAGAACAGTGGAAGAAAGTAGTCAAATATTTGAAGACACAATGGAGTTTATCGATGTCTCTACAGAAAAATCCGATACGGAGGATGAATTACATGAAGTGTTATCGAATTATGATATTGTCGATGTGACAGATGATAATGAACGAGATATCAATGGGATAGGAAGGTCGCAAAAGGAAGCAAATCCTCGCGTTACGTTGCAAAAAACTCGCGTGTCACGTGAATCGAATAAAAGTACAAAGAGGAAGTTTCAAGAAAGTATTTCTATTGGAAGGCCTGTCAATCCCACCAAGTCGCCAAAACTAGAAGCAAAAGTGGGTGTAATGAAACAAAATGAATTGAGCAGCGATCACAACAGATCAAGTATAACCGACTTAATGACATTTCAATCGGTAAACAATGATGTGGAATGTGAAGAGATGAAAATTGAGGAGGAACATAATACAGGGTACATGACGGAAAAGAAGTGTCTTGACAAGAATCTTACTATGTCACGAGCATTTGGAATAAAGTTAGAGGCAGCGGAACAAAATGAATCGAGTGATGATTATGTTAGATCGAACGCAGTTGATTTAATAATATTGCAGTCAGAAAACGATAACATGGAATGCCTCGGAGACGACGAAGAAATGAAAGATGACGGTACAATGGACGTGACGAAAATTGAAAACGAAGGTTATACAAATGACACGAATGTACCGAGAAGTAATGTAAGACAAATATGCAATTTGTGTGGGACCTGTTACATTTCACAGATGAAGTATGAGTTTCACATGGAGCGACACAAGTTGAACAAAGTGGACAGATGCGTTTGCACGATATGCGACAAGGAGTGTAAGAATGAAAACTTGTTGTGGAATCACTATCTCAACATGCACAAGAGCCCGATGCGGTACATTTGCCTGGACTGCAACACGACGTTCACAACGAAACTAAATTTAGGCGAGCATCAGAAGAAGCGCAATCACTCCAGCTACAAAACGATGCAAAATATTAAAACCGACAGCAGAAATCGGACAGCGGACAGCAATCAGAGGACTGTTTCGAAGCGAAAGTGCGCTATCTGCAGAAAATTGATAAAGGACATGGATCTCAATGTTAGCAATGATGTAGCAATTTGCGCTTTCTGCGTGGACCCTGGTGCGTGTCTGGTCGACGGGGAGGTGACAAAACCGGTCACGCAGCGGCAGTATCACTGCTCGAAGTGCCGCAAGCACTTCATGCGCCGGGAGAGACTCGAGTTCCACGAGATGCGGCACAACGAGAACATGGACGAGTTCGTCTGCAGTACGTGCGGCCGTGAGTTCAGCGGGGAGAACTCCTTGTACGAGCACTATCTCTTCGTGCACAAGGGGGCGAGGCCGCACGTTTGCGAGGTGTGCGGCAAGTCGTTTCAGCTGAAGGCACGATTGAAGGAGCACTATCGCAAGCACACGGGTGAGAAGCCTTATCAGTGCGAGATATGCGGCCACCGGTGTATGACCACGCACTCGTTGAAATTCCACAAGAAGTCCCACCTGGCCTTGCGCCACACGTGCGAGATATGCGGCAAGTCGTTTCTCAAGAAGCAGAATCTGAACGAACATCTGGAGAAGCACTGGACGAACGACAAGAGCGTGTCGCTCTCGCGGATATTCACGTGTCCCGTGTGCAGCTGCGACCTACCGACCTTCCGCATGCTGAGGCATCACATGATCGGCACTCACCAGCTCGACCGTCAGGACCCCCTGATAATGAAGCAGAAACCGTGGTACGAGTGCGACGAGTGCCAGGAGAAGTTCAAGCATCAAATGTCGCTCAAGGCGCACAAGGAGAAGGTGCACGAGGGCAAGATTTTGCCTCGTGTATTTCAGTGTGACGTATGCGAGGTCGTGTACAAGGTCAAATCGATGCTGATCAAGCACATTAGGAGCAAGCACAGCGACGAGAAGCGGTACAAGTGTGCGCAGTGCGACGTCACATTTGCAGACGGCAAAACTCTGCAGGATCACGTTTTGCTGCACGCGGACAAGAGGCTGTTCACTTGCGAACACTGCAACGTGAGTTTCAGGTGTAGGGAAGCCAGGGACGCCCATTGCCGTAAACACACGAACAATCGGTCCTTGTATCAGTGCGCCGATTGCAACAAGTCGTTCAGTAGCCACGCCAGCCATTCGAACCATCGCGAGAAGGTGCACGGGGACAATGAGTGTTCCCAGTGCGGAAAGAAATTCGGCGATATGCAAAAATACCGAATTCACCTGAACAATCATCTTGGTGAAAACTTAAGTAAATTAAAATCCACGTAATGTCGCAGGAGTGATATAGCAATTATATATATATATATATATATATACTATATGCAATTATGTACATAGCAATTGCCAGTTCATGTCTGTATAAAGTCTGGCAATTTCTTGAAAATTTTGAATGGAGATTTTGTTCTTCGGATATCTCTGTAATTTTTCATGTGTAATCCCACGACATCTACGATTGATAACAGTTACTCGAGAGATCAAGAGATACTGTTAATCGGTCTTCTTTCAGCTTTCTATAAAATCAAGTTTTTTAGATTCTATTTAATACTGTTCCCGGTATAATTTATAACACAAATATGGTTGATCTTGAAGTTTATGTAACTATTATCTAAAAGAGTGACCGCAAAACTAGCGATTTTTACGTTCACTCTGTAGATGATTAAAGCGATTTTCACTTCTTAAACATTTAGACGAGAAATTAATTAAGAGAGAATATAATTATTAAAAAGGTATGAATTAATTATGTGATTTATTATTATCTTGATGTAGTTCGTTTTAAGTTGTGTGTGTGTGTGTGTGTGTGTGTGCGTGCGTGTGTGCGTGTGCGGGCGTGTGTGCGTGCGTGCGAGCGTGCGTGTGTGTGTGTGTGTGTGTGTGTGTGTGTGTGTGTGTGTGTGTGTGTGTGTGTGTGTGTGTGTGTGTGTGTGCGTGTTGTGCGTGCGTGTGTGTGCGTGCATGTGCGCGGTGTTTTAATTTCCCCAAACAAATATTTCAAAAAATATGGAAGATACGAAAAAATGTTTCGTGACAAAAGTTTTGTGATTTCGAAGAGGACACAATGAAGAAATATTTTGTTAGTGTTTTGAGAAGCTCTTGAGATAAGCTGCAAGAATATGCAATGAAAAGTAGAGTTTCCCATTTAAGAAATTGAAAGTGATTTTTTATGTGATCTTCAAATGATTATTAATCAAAGATCAAGTCATTGACATCATCTTATGTTTCCTTTAAAATCACCTTCCTTTCCTTTAAAAAACTTTCATTTTATCGTATCTTTCATATTTTTCAAAGTATTTACCTGGGAAAATTAAAATGAAATACTCTGTGCGCGCGTACACGCACACGCACACACCACACCTATATATAAAATAAATAGTTTATATGTATCATACAAATCATATGTGATTTTTTTATCATTACAAAATTTCACGTTTTAACGTTCAACACTACCTGTACGTTTATTTTTTGTGTATTTAGATTGTATACGTTTTCACTGTAATGCCTATTATTGTACTTATGAATAAACATATTCTCTATGCGCAAATGTAAAATATAGTGTGAAAATATTACATTCTTATTACATTTCTTAATACTCTTTTATAGATAGACATAATATAAGATCTATGTGTTATGCTTATTTATAATTGTTTAATATTATAATGTTTCACATTTATATATGCATATGACAATCACTATAAATTATAAAAGTCTTTATCTAACTTTATACAAACAGAAATTATGTACTTTTTTATTTTATTTCTTTATGAGATTATATGTTAAGAGTCTACACGAGTGATGGACAAACTGATCATTCGCATTTAGTAGTATAGATATATATGTTATTTATACTCTATCATATCTTTTTTTGTTTCTTAGAAAAAACATTTTATTTTGCAAGATTTTTTTTATGAAAGTATACAGGATGTCAAAGAGCCAGATTTTGTAATTTGAAAAATATGATAAATTATCTGCTCTTATGATGCAGATATAATCGAATTCAGCCATATTTTGTCTTATAACGTTTGTCTTGTAGATCAGGAAGGAAACAATAACTGAAATCCTCACTGTAGTTTCGTGTGTAAAGGTTATTGATAATGTTTAAATTCGCGTCACGTACACTGCGTGAAGTAATGTCTAATCGCATATATAATTCGTATAACGTGTATGTAATTCGTTTTCTTTCGCGACGCGCTTGAAGGCTGTGGTGCCCTGAATCGCGAACACTTATCTGATTCACGACAACGCCTGGGGGTTGTGGTGCCCTGAGTCGTGAACACTTTGTTTAAACAGAGGTTACGCCTCGATACAGGTCGGTGTGTAACCGCGACAACGCCTCAAAGCGCGATGCTTTGGGTCGCGGCTTGATACGCGCACTTTGCGTCTTGGAGGACAACGACTAACGTATGAATATCGATTTAAGAGCGCTCGACGTGCACAGTCTGACAATCCAGATCGAAATGAGAGTTTTTCTGACGACCGTGGATTCCCACTAATTGTCAATCCGTTTCCGATTGGTCCCCTTTCGGACACAGTCGCAACGGTCCCCCTTGTTTGCATACGGACCCAAAATTATAAGAGCCGGAAATCCCTTGATCGATATCGCGGCGCCGCCGCGTCGCGCCGGCTTCCAAGACACATGCATATGTTTATGCAACGTGCGGATGTGGTTGTTGTTTTCCGAACCCGTCTTTTGCATTGTCGTGCATGACCTTTTAGAGCTCTATGCAACGTTGAAAGAACAAACGAACTCGCGTCGCGGAAAAAAATGTACGAAAAAGCAGACGTATACATACACGGAAAAAATTGCTGTGGATGTTACAACAATATTCTCTATGTTTGGAAAAGAAATGCATGTGAATTTA